CATTCATGTGGCCTCTTGGGTTTGCTTTTCTCTTGGGTAAGTACCTGGGAGCGGAAGTGCTGTGTGAGCAGGTAAGTACTAACGTGTTTAGGTTTCTAAGAAAGTGCCAGACCCTCCTCTGAAGGGGTGGTGCCCTCGGCGCTCACCAGTGACTGTGGGAGTCCTGTGTCCAGCTCCTCACCGGCCCATTGCTCAGTTTCGGTCACTCTGGGTCATGCCTCAAATAGTTTGGAGTTGCGTTTCCCTCACGACTAAGATGAAGCACTTTTTCTTGCACTTACATCATTTACATACATTTCTTTTGTGAGATGATCTGGACGTACCTCTCACCTTTTTCAAAATTGGCTTATCTTACATGTACTGCTTTTTACAAAAGTAGATTTTCCCCCCTAAAATAGGAGTGTTCCTATTTTACGTCTGTAGAACGTGTATTTTTCCCCGCCCAGGTGAACAGGTGTGTCCCTCACTCACCTTCCACCGCACCTTCGGCCTGGGCCTGGCCACGCCCTCCCCCTCGCTCCCTGTTCCCTCTGGTAACCAGCATCTTCCCCCTAAGCGTGAGACTGCGGTGTTTGTGTGTGAAAACGCAGTTTGAGTAGGCTGTCGTGGGTAAGCACTTTTTCAAAGATGTATTTATTTAAGCACACACAACAGGGGCGCAGGCCAGAGGCGCAGGGGTGGTGGCTTCCCCAGAGACAGAGCGGGGAGCAGCACAGGCCGACTGACTGCAACACACGGCGGCGAGGGGAGCAGCGGGCGGTCAGGAGAGGCCTGCGCGCCCTGGGGCCGCTCCCCGGCCGGGGATGGAACAGGGGCTGCAGGGGCTGCGCCAGCTTCCCAGTGCTGCGCTGGAACCTGCTGCGCCCCGCGAGGCCGAGGCCCGTTACTGAGCGGCTGGGCCTCGGCAGAGCTGCCCGCGCCGGCTAGTGAGGCCGCGCTGACGCCGCGACCCAGGCGGAGCCTTCGGGTTCACGGTGCCGAACCTCCTGCGGGTGGGGAGAGTGTGACGTGCCCTGTGCCACCGCCTTCTCTGGAAGTTCCACTTCCCTACAAACCCTCAGTGCCGCCCTGTCCCTGCCCCGCCCCGGCCCCGCTGTCCCCGGGCCGCGGCTCTCCGCTTGCCGCGCGCCTGGGGCCTGCGGAGTGTTCTGGGCTGCCTGGCTTGCAGCGAGCTTCTGGTTCCTCCATCTTTCTGCGGCGTGACAGCTCCCTGACTGCCGAGCGATGTTCTCGTCGGGTGTCTTGCTGTCGGAGGTGTCGCTTGATCCCTGAGGACAGCAGTTCTTCACCCTGGACCCTGGACCCTGGAAGCCAGTTTGCAACTACCCTCGGTGAGTGGCTTTCCTGTCTGCCGTCCACGCGCCTGCTCACGAGCGGACGCTTGGCTCTGGCGTGGTCTCGTTGGCTCTTTCTTGCTGCTGCTCTGACTCAGGAAACCTGTGGCCGAGACGTGGAGACCTGTTCCCGCGTTTGACTTCGCGCGTACACCTGGATGTGGAATCCGACGCAGACCCGCGTCTGCCTCGCGTGGGAGGGTGGCCACGCCGGGGTCCGCCTGTCAGGCCGCCTGGGGCCCCGGCTTAGATGCCGTCCCTTCCCGGGGTCGCTCTGGGCCCTTGACGGAAGGGGCGGGACTGGGGGGGCCGTTTCTCAGCTCCTCGCTCGCGCCGACGTGGTCCCTGCGCCGGGCCAGGCCGTCGGTGACTGTAGCTTCGTCTGGAAAATCGGGTGTCGTTCCTCCAACCTTGTGCGTCTCTGCAGAGTGCGTACCACACCCCCCTCGTATGGATGGTTTATAGCTAATTTGTTGATTTAAAAAACCTGCAGTTAAAATTTTCAGTCGAATACGTATGACTTTAAAAATGCCTGTTTTTTCAAAGACAGCTTATAAACAAGTGTTCTCTCTCTCATTCCTGGAGGCTGTGCGTTACCAGAGAACGGTGCTGACAGCTTGATGTGGTGCCTGGGGAGGGCCCAACTTCCCTACATCAACAGGGTCTTGTGCTGCCCTCTCATGGGGGGGCTAAGGAATGCCCTGGAGTCTCTCCCGTAAGAACAGTGACCCCCGCCCCCCACCCCACCCCAGCCCACGCACCTCCTGCTGCTACTGAGGGGTAAGGAGAGTAAGTTTAAGTGGGAAGGTCAGAGATTTGGTTCTGGACGTGCTATATTGAGTTCCAAGTGTCAAGCTGGAAGAGAGCTCCAGACTGGAGGGAAGGAAGCTAGAAGCTGTAGGCACAACGGTGGTCTGTCCAGCTGGGAGACTGAGGTCACCTGAGAAGTGATGGAGAGTGAAGACAGGTGTCTGCGCCCCCCCCTCTGTTCAGACCTGGGGGGGGGGTGTGGAGGAACACGTGGCCGGACAGCAGAGCAGCAGGACACTGCAATCTGCTAGACGTCAGCGGGAATTCGCGTCACTAAGCAGCAGCCGTGACACCCTCAGGGACCTGCTCCTCCCCCAGTGCCTGGCACTAAGAACGCAGCCGCTAGGAGCATTGTTCCCTAAGGACATCCAGCTCTGCAGACTCAAGTCTGTGGCCTAGAAACTTCTAAAGACTCGTTCACACGTGGTCAGCACGAGAGAAACCTTCCAGGGTCAGTACTAGTTTGATTACCTTGAGGCGTGTGGGTTTCGCCTGACTCGGCGATGAGAAAATACTTGTGTTTTCGATCTGGAGAATCCCCACAGCTCTGCCCCCTCGTGTCAAAGATGAGAACATGGAGATGCCACAGAACGTCATCTTCCCTCAGCACCCAGTGGCGGGGAGTCGCTGGCGGGGGGAAGGGCAGCATGGTCTCCCCGACTCGGAGGGAGCAGCTGTGGCTAGTGCTCCTGCAGCCTCTTCACTAGTTAAGACCACGTTAAACCAAGCTGGTCTCAGGGCCTCCCTGATGGCCTAGGGGTTAGCCGCAGGGCTCGCACTGCTGCGGCCCTGAGTTCGATCCCCGGCTCGGGAGCTGACCCGCATATGGTGCAGCAGAAGACTGTTCCTGTGTGCGCTGCTGTGTGCGCTGCTGCTCTAACTTGCCGTGTCTGTGTCTCAGTGGACCCTCTCCCCTTCCCTCCTCACCTCTCACCCCCCCTTCCCTCCTCTCACCCCTCTCCTCTTCACTTCACCTCTCACCCTCTCATCCCCACCCCTCACCCACCTCTCCTCTTCACCTCTCACCCTCTTCACCTCTCACCCCCCTCTCACCCCCTCCCTCCTCTCACCCTCCTCTCACCCACCTCTCCCCCACCTCTCCCCCCTTCCCTCCTCCATAAATGATGAACACCATAAATGATGAACACTATGAATGATGAACACTATGAACACTATGAACGCTGATATCTAATAGATAGATAATTCTACCTCCTCAAGCAGAAAATGTCTATGTCTCTCTGTGTTTAATTTCTCTGTCTCTCTCCTGATGCCTGATCCCACTGATCCCACCAGCAGTCAGTCAGTCCGGGTCTGGCTTCCTTCACCGCTCCTGAATTCCACTGAATTCCACTTCTTTTATGGTTTTATGGCTGGGCCGCGGCTGCTGCAGACACCCCTCGTCCTGCTCTGCTCACCCGCACGGACACGTGTCCGTCTGCCCCGGCTTCAGGCTGCGCATCCTGCTCTGGGTCACAGGACCCCTGTATCCAGCGTCCTGTAACCTGCCACGCTGTCCCCAGCCGCCGCCTCGGCTCACACCCTGCCGCCACGGGGCAGCTGCCAGCGTCTCCACCCCCTGCCCAGCGGCCTGCGCCGGCCATCCCGGCCTCGCCTGGGGCCCCTGGGCGTCCTCTCAGCTCGAGCTCGAGCCTGGCCGTGAGGTGCTTTCTCGTGTGCTTAACGCCGTGTTCACGGGACCCGAAGACCCTGCGGGAGTCCTCCGCTGGCTAAGGCTGCGTGGCCGGGCGTGGCCGCTGTCCTCCGCCAGGGTTTTGGTGCCGCGCCTTCGCCTTTAAACGTGGTTTCGGTTTGCCCGGGCTGCTGTGCGGAAACTGTCGTGGTTCGGGTGGGTCTTGCATTCCTGCCGTCGCCGCCGCCTTGGCCTCGACTCTGACACCTCGCGGACCAGTGTCGGGGCCTCCCCACCTCCCCTCAGTTTGCGCCTTCGGGGCTAACGTTCACGTCACAACTCGGGTTAGCTCGTGTGCGGCGTGAGACGTGGGTCTCGTTTCATTTGTTGCGTGTGGCCGCCCGGGGCCCCACGTCCGTGTGCTGAAGACTGTCCTTTCCTGACCGCCGCGTGCGGGTCTGTGCCCAGTCCCCTGTGTAACCGCGGCAGTGTGGCGACGGCCGCCGGAGTGGGGACGGCGAAGCCGTCAGCGTTGTTCCCAGGGTGCTTTGGCTGTTCCGTACCAATTTCAGGAAAAATGGAGAATTTCCACAGGCTGTCGAGAGGCCGCGCTGAATGTGTCGGCGGTCCGGACCGTTCCGTCAGGAGACCGGCCGCTGAGGCGCCCCGGGGGGTGGAGCTGTGGCCTGGGGCCTTGCTGCCCTCGCGGGCCACAGCGTGGTGGTGACCGCCAGGCCCCGGTCGCGCGTCCTCCTAGGCTGCGGCGGGCGCTTCTGCCTCTTCTCAGAGTGACAGCCCACGGCAAGGCCCCAGGACGTCAGGTTCTGGGGTGCTGGGCCGAGAGGCCTCTCCCTGCAGTCCGGGGGTTTCGTCCCTCAGGTCGGTGGCCGCGTCCCTGCAGCGGAGAGGCCGACACCTGCCTTTCCAGGACAGCGGCGGACCACGTGAGGCCTGAGCTGCGGCTCCGGGGCCGGACGGCGCTGGCCCGGTCGCCCGGCGGCCGCCCCGATCTGCCTCAGGTCGGCTGGGACCTGGGAAACGCCTGCGGGAACGGCCCGGCGGCACTCTGGGTGCTTCCTCTCGCCCGCAGCCGGCGCCGCGGTGGTGAGCTGCGACCGCGAGGTGAGGCGAGCCGCCCGGTCCGAGCAGCTGGCGGCGGCGGCTCAGCCACACGCGTCGCACAGCGCAAGCAAGCACCTGCGTCTCGCAGGCGCCGAGTTCCGGGCGAGACTCACCCCTTCTCGCACTGCTGAGGAGCTTTTGAAGTTCGTGGGCCACTTCCTAAGGCGGTGTGGGAGCTGTAGGGTCACAGGACACAGACACCGATAAAAATACGCTTTATTAACCAAGTGGCTCACGGTATAAAACAGACGAGTTCACTTTACTAATGCGATGTCTGCAGGCACAGCAGCGTCAGTAAACACAAGCAAGGCCGAGGCCCTCCGGGAGCCGCATCCGCAGGGACACGGGCCCTCGGGCCAGCCACTTTCACCTCCCTCGCCGTTTCTCTCGAAGCTGCTTCTGAGACTCCCCGGCCGTCCCCAGCCGGGGTGGACCTGGGAGGGGTCTGTCCTGCCTGCAGCGGTGCTGGGAGCAGAGGCCGGGTGCCGGCCTGCCCCCCGCGGGCCCCCAGGCCCTGACGCCCGGACCTGAGCGCGCCTGGGCCGGCGAGCGCGGCAGGACGAGGCTCCAGGCGCTAGAACTTCTGCAGGAACTTGAGGACAAGGTCGCGCAGGCGCACCCTGAGCACCTCGTCGTGGTCGCAGATGATGTGGGTGGAGTCCTCCTCCAGCTGGATCAGCGTCTCGGCCTCCTGGAGCAGGACGATGTGGCCCTTGGCCGTGTCTTCCACCTTAATGTCGCTGAAGCCGTGCTGGGGGGAAAGGCGACGGGAAGGCAGAAGTCACGCACGAGCTCGGCGAGACACCTCCCAGCCTCGGCCGCACCGCACGGCCTCAGTCTGGCTTTGCAGCCCGTTCCCTGCACGTGGCCCAGCCGCAGAACTCGACCGCGGTCCGTGTGCTGTGAAGATGCCCCTGGCCATGCCGGGCCCGAGGAGGGCTGAGGCAGGACGGGGGTTGGGGTGACCTGCCTGACGGGTGACGGCCCGGCCCTGCCTTCCTGGCTCAGGGCAGACGAGGCGGCCCTGCCTAGCACCCCCGGCCTGCGGGGGCCGGGTGGGGAGGGAGCGAAGCTCTTCTGGGGGGGGCGCGTTGTTTCTAGTGTGAGTTCTGTCAGAGGAGCGGACAAGGCCTGGGCGACGCCTCGCCTGCTGGCGCCAGGGTCCCCAGGGCCACCGCGGCTCCCTCTGGGAAAACCAGCGACTAGTGGAGAAGACGAGAGAGGGAAGCCTTTGCGAGTGGGAAGAATTCCGCCACTGAGAGATTTCCGCTTGGTCAAAGGTGGTAAAAGTCGTTTACAGGAAACCACCTTTCCTCCGTTACCTAGTTAAAACCTGCAGCTGGTGACTAACCAGTTCTTCCGTGACTCTGGCTCTCAAGTCCTGTGCCTGAAGCCAAAACCCTAAAATTTTTGATGGGCAGCTGAGGAGATGGGAAGGACGGGGCTGACCTTTCTCCCACCTCCTGGGGTCCTGACCTGACACCCCACCCCCTATGGTCAGCTGCTGTGGCCAGCTGCTGTGGCAGGCCTCGCTGGCTCTGACAGGAAAGCTAGGCCCCTGGGGGCAGCCCCGCCTCGCCTTTGTCAGGGACCCACCTGCTAGCCCTGGAGAAAGGCCTTCTGTTGGCCCGGGGTGGCCGTACTGGGCAGGAGCGCCAGGGGGTGATGCCCTCCCTTCTCATGGCCCCGCCTCCGCCCTTCACACGACCCGGGGCAGCTGATGGGGCAGGCGACCTGGTCCTTGCAGGCGGGGCAGGTGCAGGGGGCTGCTGACCTTCTCCAGGGTCTGCACAAACTGGCCCACGGGGATGGAGCCGCTCAGCAAGGGCTTCAGGGCTTTGCAGTCGGGGATGTCGTCGCCAGCCCGCTTCCGCTTCTTCCCGCTGGGGGGCTGGGCCGGCCTCGGTGGGGGCTGTGGGTGGGAATCCGGGGTGCTGCATCAGGCCCTGCCTGTGGGGTCCTCCCTGCTCAGAGGCCCAGGGCTGAGGCCACAGGCACTTGGTTGAGGCCAAGCTAACACCGACCATGTGCTGGCCCCCAGCCCTCACTCTGAGCCATCTTCCTGCTGGGCCCCACCAGACTCGCAGGCGCGGCTGAGCCCCCTGCCTGTGCCCCCTGCCTGTGCGTGGCGGTGCCAGGGACCTCGGTGAGGGCCCGCAGGCATCACCCACGTGTAACTCGGGGCTCAGAAGCAACAGCCCCGAGTCTTCCTGGGGTTGGGACCAGACCCACCCTGCTTAGCCACCAGGCGGCCTCTGGAAAGCGAGGTGTGTGCTGGGAACCAAGTCCCCGGCTGCCTTTGCCTGTTGCAAGCTCCCCCCAGGACTGGCCCAGTGCCTGTGGGCTCGTGGAGGCACCCTGAATTAGGATGCTGATGGCGGAGCTGTGAGCAGCACAGGGCGAGGCCGCTCCTGCCCTCGCGCACCCTGGGAGGCGCGTGGGTGCTGTCCTCTCTCTGGGAGCTGGGTGGAAAGCAGGCGCGCCAGCAGGGTGTGGTGGTGGGGTCCCCTGGCTCCGGGGTACCTGCAGGACGTGCTTGTTATCCTTAGTCTGCAGCACGGCTGAAACGGTTGCCAAGGAAATGCCGGGCTTGATCTCCATGGGCACCAGGGAATCTGCGAGCTGAAGCAAGGGGGGTTCCCGTCAGGCCCGCGCCAGGTGAGCGGGAGGTGGAGCCTGAGGTGTGGCTGAGCCCCTCACCTTGCCACGCTCCCCCCAGACAAAACCCAGGACGCCCCGAGCTCCAGCGTGGCGGGGGATGGGCGCCTGCCTGCATGTGGAAAGCAGTCACAGGGCCACGTGGCCCGTCAAGCTCGCGGACAGCAAATGAGTCGTAGGTGAGGGCCGCGGGGGAACTGCCCCCACGTCCCCGTCACGTGCTGTCTCTTACCAGACGATCGTCCCCGGGGAAAAGCCCACACACTGAAACCCAGAAAAAACTGCAATGTATTTGCCGGGGTGGGCGACGTCTGGGCGGCCCACGCCAGAGTGCAGAGGAGAAGCCTGGGCCCAGGGGGCCTGGTTGGCCGGTGTCTGCCGGCGGGTGGAGGGTGTTGGGGCGCCGGCCTCGTGGGGGAGGAGCGGCAGCAGTGTTGAGCCGCCCGCCGCAGGGCTCCAGCGCCACAGGTAAAGGCGCCTCTGGTAAGGAGCCCGGACACGCGAGTTCACGTGGTAGTGCTGCTCTGTCCAGGAGTCCCCGTCCCCACCACCACTGGGAGCCACTTGTTATTCTAACAAACACTGGGGTCTTCCCCTCCACGAAGGAGACTACACCGAAGGCCTGAATTCAAGGTAATGATTTCTTCCACAAAAGGCCAAAATCTCACTGCACGTTGAGTTACTCCGCTGGCAAGCAGCACTGCAGACCCAGGAGCAACATGTTCTCAGGTAACTGAAGACTTGACGGAAATTGAGGGGAAAAACAGCCCCAAGTGACCGGCTCTCGGGGCTCTGAACTCATCCTGCACCCGACAATGTGCAACCCAGAGGCTAACGGGTTCACAGCCTTGGGTCAGACACCCCAATTCGGAATGTTTCCTGAAGAAAACGGGAGCGAATGCGCTGCAGTGCGCCCTGTGGTGGAGAAGAGCCGGAGGCGGGCGGCGGCTCTCCGGCCTCCGGGCCGGCCCCTCCCCAAGTGAGGGGGCCAGGCAGGGTCCGCCTCGCCACGGTGGCACTCGCGGGGAGTGACGGGCAAACAGTCTGACGGTGCCGGGACATGACTGGGTTTTGGTTTTGACCTTTTCCCTTTCTGTTTTCCAAACTTTCTAGAATGACAAAAGCAGAGATCCGGGTCTTAACAGCAGGTCTGGGTGCTGAGCCCGGAGCCCCGGCGGGCGCCCGGGCTGGGCTGGGTGGTCACCGCCTCGAGCCTGCGGTGTGCCCTGGCCTTTCGCTCATTCTCTGCCAGTGCTCCCTGGGAGTTTCTAGGGGCCCCCGGCGTGCGTCCTCAGAGCGGACGGAGGCAAGAGGCGTGGCGAGGGTGGCGGGAGGAGGGCCGCCAGCGCCCCCACAGGGCAGGACGGGCGCCCCCGTGGCCCCCCGGCTCAGTGGCAGACGGTCTAGAGGCGGGCGGCTGTGAGGGGAGCCTGACAGCCTCCCTGGCTTGCTCACCAGTGGACGCCCGGGGCCAGCGGGCAGAGCTCACCTCTGGCGTGATCTCAATCTTCTCGTAGCGACGCTTGAAGGGTAGGGCGAGGACCTCGGCCCGCCGGTAGGACATGGGGGGCGGCTGGCAGTCGATCATCAGGTCCATCCGGTGGGACTGGGCGGGGGGCGGCTGCGTGTACTGCTCGGGGCAGACCACGTGGAGGGGCTGCGGAGGGCGGCGGCGTGAGGGTGGGCACCGGCGCCCATCCTCTGCCGGCTCTGCACGGTCCCTGGGGGAGCCGCCGCGGTGCTGCTTCTGTTTCCTCCCTGGCCCACTCCGCCTGGCCTCAGCCTGGGCACGCTGTCATCGGCTGGCGCCACTGCTGGCTGGTGGCAGGCATGTGCTGCCTCAGCAGGGCGGCGGGCACCGACACATGAGCTGGACACGGGCGGACGGGCCCGCGGGCCGCCTCACCTGCACCTCCTTCAGCAGCTTGGACACCTGGATGAAATTCAGCCGCGTGTCGATGGGGCAGTAGATGCACTTCATGGCCAAGGGCTGGTAGGGAGCCAGGGCCTCCAGGTAGGAGAAGTCGGGTTCTGGGGAGAGCGCGGAGCAGTGTGAAACGGCGGCCGGCAGAGGGGCCGTGCCCACTGAGGGGCCGGCAAGGAACGCGGAGCGGAACCTGCTCTGCCGCGGGAGGACGCCAGGTAGAAAAAGAGCTGCCACCTGGCAAGCAGCACAGCAACGACCTACTGGGCCGGCAGCGGGCGGCTGCAAACATGAAACAACGCTTTGGGGAGGACGAGGACCGACAGCCTCCAAGTTGCCACCCAAGGCCGTGACTCCCCAGAAGCCTCCGACGCCCCAGGAGCCTCCGCACAGCCCCAGGGTGGACTCCAGCTGGCGTGGACCCGGGGCTCGCACGGGGAACCTGTCTGGGCAAAGTCCACGGCTGTGACCGCTGGGCCTCTGGTCACCCAGTGGCGCGGTGGGGTGTGCAGAAAGGCACGTCCACTTGCCTGTGAAAATGACCGTGTTGAGACTGGACTTTCCCCAGAGCTCCATGAAGTGGACCACGTCCCCAAACCGGAGCGAGGGGTGCCCCGTGAACACCACGCACGGCTGCCGGAAGTCGTTGCTGAAGCCCCCGTGGATGCTGGGGTAGTGCTTCAGCTTGCTGGTCTGGATGAGCTGGAAGACAGTGGAGGCCTGAGCTGCCCGCGGGCGGCCCGCGAGGCGAGCTGACCAGAAGGAAGCACGGCCGCCTCCGGGTGGATGGAGCCAGAGATGGAAACGGCTGACCTGCATGTGACCTTGTGAGCAGAGGGGACCTTTCCCGATGTTCACAGCCGATTTCCTAGGCCCCGGCCACGGCCTGCCCTCGGGCGCCTGTGTCCCTTACTGCCTGGAGTGCCCAGACACCAGGCATCTCCCTTCCAGCACAACCGTGGTGCTGTTCTCCCACCAGGCCCGCCGAGACGCACCAGGTGCCGCTGCCCTGTGGGCAGAGGGCAATACCGGCCTTCAGCCAAGTCCAAGCGGAGCCGCCCAGCTGTGAGGATGTGGGGGAGCAGCTGCGCCCTCACGCCCTCCCCGCACCCCCCCAATGCCAGCTTCACGGCCTGGGGAGTCTTTGCTTCAGAGAGCGCTGTCATCAGCAGGCCGGCAAAACCGCCCGAGAAACCGCGCCTGCTCCCACTGCCCTCGGCGGTACCTACAAGTCCAACTCAAGCTCCTTTCACAACTACCCGGCCAGCTCATTACTGGGCACTCCAACGGGCGAGCGCGTCTGCAGGACCGAGTGTGGCCACGGCCACGGGGCTGAGGGCGCAGAACAGCGCTCCCTGCACCCGGCTCCGCGACGGTGGGGTCCCCCTGGGGGCGGTCTGCAGAGGCGCAAGGCCGACCCTGCCCCGCGCTGCGGCCAGACGCTCCCGCCTGCCGACCGGAGCCCGCCAGGGCGTCTGCGCAGAGAACGTGGCTCCGCGTCCCGGGCACCAGCCGCCCGGGCCGGCGTGCTCCCCTGCCCAGCGGCTCAGCTGTAAGGGGCACGGAGGGCGCCGGGAAACCTCCTGCACGACCTTCGCTTCCGGGAGCCCTTCCTGAGGAGGACGGCGGCGGCTGCCCCGTGGCAACAGCCGCCGGACACTGCTGTGCCTGTTAAACAGCTCCCGGCGCCCCAGTTAGCACTAAACCATGAAACTAATCCTGAAGGCCCCGCGGAGTCTGAGTAAAGCCACCCAGCCGGCTGCTGACCCCTCTGGGCCCCAGGGCTCCCTCGCCCACAGGCCCGGCAGATGTGGCCTCTGCCCTGGCTCCCAAGGGTGTCAGAGGGGGCCAGGGAGACTGGCGACACCCAGGCCCTCGGAGTCTGTGTCCGCAGCGGCCAGCCCGCCCAGCGGGGCCGTCACGCGGTCTCCTGCCACACGTAGTGAGGTGAAGAAGCTGAGGCGGGGCGCCCTCCTGGTGCAGGGGGCACCCGGCAGCAGTCTGGACTGAGGGACACGGAGGCGCAGCCGCTTGGCATACGCGGGCCGGGGGAGCGCTTGCCGCTTCACGCGGAAAGGCTGCTCGGTCCTGCTCGGTCCGCCAAACGCGTCTGCGGCCACGTGCCACGCGAGCGCCGCCACAGACCAGGCTGCGCGTGAGAAAAAGGCCTGTGGCAGCACGGCGCCCGCCCGCGCCCGGCCCGCCGGCAGCACCTACCTCGGCGTGCGGGAACGGCGGCTCGGGGAGGTACACCTTGCTCTGCTTGTTGTGGCAAAGCCTGAGGAAGGAAACAGGCGGCGAGGTCGGCTGGCCCAGGGCGCCGCTACTGCCGCGGCGCCGGCTCGACCGCTCACGGTGGAGAGCCCGGCAGGGTCAAGCCCAAGGCCAGCGGAGTGTCACCTCTTGCCGCCAGCCCCTAGGCGGCTTCGAGGATTGCGACAGGAGCAGCGTGGGGAGGGGGGAGCAGGTGTGGGCCGTGGCGGCGCGGCTCTGGGCACACCTCCTCCTCGCTCACCTCAGGGCTCACCTCAGGGCTCACCTCAGGTCCCGGGAGCCGCCGGCCACGCCCTGTGTGCCGAAGCGGCTCCGAGCAATGCAGTCCGGCTGCCGGCACTGTCCTGCTCGGCACCGTGACCGCGAGGCCATGTTTTAGGGACCCGCGTGTGTCGCCTCAGGGTGACAACCAGCTCATCTCTGGCAGCGACGTGGGAGGCTGAATCCGGCAGCTGCCACACGCTGCCAGGACCAACGCACCGGCCGAGGCAGGGGTGCTTGACGCCCGTGGATGACCCTGACATGGCTCCCTGACTCCACAGTGGCCCAGCTCTACCCACCCTATATGTGATCAACGGCTGCATGTGTCAAATACGTGCTACTGAAGAGAAAAAGCTAGCTTTTCACGTCAGATTTGATACAAATCTTGGACACACAGCTTGGCGGGAGCCGACTTTCAGAGTGTCGCTCCAGTTGGCGACAGCAGGGGCAGCAAGTCCGGGGGCCTGGGCTTTGCTGCCGCTTTGGGAAGTGCCCCCAACCCACAGGGGCCTTCCCGCCTCCCCTCAGAGGCGACTGCTCTTCTTAACCCTGGCTTTCACCAACAGTCTTCCCTCTCAGTCATGGCAAAACAACATGAAAATTTCACAGAGGTGAGAGAAAAGGCAGGTGATTACGTTCACCGCTAGAGCGTACCGACACACACGCGCCCACAGAGCAGACCTACCACTCGGCAAATATCTGGGAAAACTCCAGCGAACTGTTAGCCACCGGGGAGATGAAGTAGAACGGGATGTTGGCGAGGCCGGCCGAGTCAATGTACTGATACAGGCATTCCAGAAGGTCATAGATCACTCCAGAAGGGTAGCAGGGAACCAGCACGTTGCCTCCATTCCGCACTGTCAGCGCTAGAGGGGAGGCCGGAGGGAAAACAAGCCCCCAAACATCAGTTTTAAAAAAGCAGAGCGGCACATTGGAAGGAACCTGCATCTCAGTCCCGTCATCCGCCCCGCAGGCCGTCACCCCTGGTCACGCGCATCAGAGGCCTCAGGCCCAGCAAGCGGAGCCCTGGCACTGACGTCTCCCCCACGGCGAGCTCAGGACGGGGCCGCGCACCCTCCTTTGGGCCCTGCGAGCCTCTGCCAGGTTTGCCCCGTCTGGTGTTGCTGAACGAGGCGGAGCAAACAGGCTCTTTCCTGTTTGCGTGTTTCGCAGGCCTTTTCTCTCCCCAATTATGACCCACCGAAACCCTCCACATTTGGGAGGTTATCGCCTGTGGACTCGCAACTCATGGCTTGCAATCTAGTAGAAGTTACAGAACTGGGCAGAAAAGAATCGGTGTCCTCTCAAGTTCGAAGGGGCAAAAAGCACCCGAGAAGTGAGTTGTCAGGAATCCGCGGGGACGTGCGGCCCGGTGGGTCGAAGGCACCTACCGAGGTTGCTGCAGAAGTCGCCCACCATGCCATCGGGGTTCGCAGTGGGGGTCTGGGTGAGGCCCGTGAGGAGGAGAACGTCGCTGTTTTTGAGGGACGCCTGGTCCATGGGCTGAGGAACAGAGACCCATGCTCAGCACTTAACCGAGGCAGCTGGCCGGCAAGCCCATGGGCGCCGCTCCCTCCTCCCCGAGGAGCCTGTCCAGGGCTGGTGTGTGACTGGGGGCGCAAGGGGACAGAATGGGTGAGAGAATGGTGCAGGAGGAGGGCGTGCACTCACAGCTGCCTGCTCCCTGGGACCGCCCGAGGGACGCCAGCCAGGGCACCCGGCAGCCCAGAAACAAAGGGACTGAAATCAGTTCCTGGGGAAACCAGCGCCCTGGGGCAGGAACAAGACGGCGGGCACCATGGAAGCGCAGAGGCGGGCGCTCCGGGGCCACCCACAGCGCGGAGGAGGGAAAGGCCCTGGCAGTGACGGGCGGCGTTTCAGACGTCTGCGCGCACACAAGGGGCCGTTACAGTGAGCACGTGTGGCCATCTGGAAATCGCGTGAGGGGAAATATGCAAAAGAAAACGATTCAGAGTTCAGGACAGACAAGAACAACGCACACGAGAGGCACCCGCGGAGGGGTGGGCGGGCAGCGCCCGGAGCCAGGCAGTCCGCACGCCGCCACGTCTCGCCCACGATGAGGGCACAGGTGGGAGGAAGCAAAGCTTTCAGAGCTGCGAGTCACGCAGCTCTTTCCCTTTAATTTTGTATCCATCTCACCTGCCATTTAAGCTTGAGGAAAAATTAAAAATATTCTTAGTGAATCAAGGCCTCACAAGGGTGGTCATTTTAGGACCCCCTGGTGAACTCTCAAGTGTGCCGGGAAGATTTAACATGGGGGGTTACGAGACACACGGGGGGGCTGAGGAAAAGGAGCCCCGGTCACGCTCACTGCCGTCCCGATGAGCAACACACTCAACGCGGCACGTGGGTTCTGAGAAACCCGGTGCGGCTGTTCCGGGCCGGGCAGTGGGGGCAGGGGGAGGTAGGGGAGGGAGGAGAAAAGATGGGCGACACACAGGAAGGTGTGGGGGAAAGAGACAGATACTGTTTGCTTAAGACAGTTACAGGACAATAAACGAAGAAACAACCCAGAACAAACAACAAAACTGAAACGTGTTTTCAAACCTGTAGGCAGAAATTTTTCCTTCTAAACGAAGGCAAGGGAGGATGAAGTAAACAACAAAAGTACGACTTAAGATGGCAAAAATAAGCCAAACAAAATAGTAAGTTAAGAAATGTTAACATAGCACCAATCCAAAGACTGGACATAAATGTCAAAACCGTAAGGAGATGCACAGGGAAGCCTCGGGAAGCGGGGGGCGGGGAGCAGGCCAGCGGGGGCCTGGCTGCAGCAGTTCTGACGGAGGGCGGAGCCACCGGCGCCTGGCAGAAGGAGCAGGTGGCCACGAGGACAGTCACCGCAGCTGTGCGCAGGCCCAGCCTGCTGGGCCACGACGTGGTCTTTCCAGCGACCCTCTTCCAGTCGGCTGGTCAGGGTTTCGGTGACGTTCATCACCTGTATTCACACGTGGAGAACGGAGCCCCACTTGTTTTCCGGAAGTCTCCCTGTCCGGAGGATGCCGTCTCCCGGGCCACTGCCCCCTTCAGCCTCAGATAAACAAGACGAGGATTCCCTTACAGCGAGCACTTTGCCTTCCTTGGGGCACCCACCTGGCTCCGCATGGCTGGCCCAGGGCACAGCTCGGCAGGAGGCCTGGCGCTGCCGGGCTCCACTGGGAGACCTCCCGGCGCCGCCGCAGCGCCGCTCCAAG